CCCCCCAAAAGGTCATGACCAGTAGAAGGAAATCCTGTTCAAAAGTGGCTGAAATGAGCTTCCTTCATGAAACCTTGTCTTGAAAGGTTGAAAAAGGCCCTAAATATTACTCTAGGATTTTTACTGATGTTACTTATAAATGAACGAGAAGCTCTGTTATCATGTCTGTCCTCTTCTTCCTCAGGCCTTCCTCTCAATGTTATGGCTGCGTTGTTGCTGCTTCTTGTCTCCACGCTGCTCCCGTCCCTTCGTACTCCCGTCCAAGCGTCTCCGTCCTGTCCCCCGGACTGTCGCTGCTACAGCCTGACCGTGGAGTGTGGATCCACTGACCTAAAGGACATCCCCAAACACATTCCTCCTTCCACTCAGGCAGGCCGGCTGCTTCTCGAACCTTTCACCAGCATGTTAGGTTTGTTAGTTTTGACTAGCGGTGTGCAAACCTCTTCCTTTTTGTCTCTGTTCAGACCATCTTCCTCCAGGATAATGTGATTAATCAGGTTCGTCAGCTGGACCTCACCCGACTGAAGCACCTGCACTACCTGTACCTGCAGGTAACAAACTGCTTCTTCTTCTTCTTCTGCCACAAACACAGCAGGAAGTGACAGAAAGAGAAAAACGTTTTCTGTGAGATTCAGGTCTAAATTAATTTAATTTTCTCACCGTGGAGTCACGGTCAGGATGTCATTCCTCAAGAAATGTGGTATTTTGAGCTCTCTGGAACAGTGTTTCCCAAAGTTGGGGTCGGGGCCCAAAGTGGGGTCCCGAAACATCAAGGTGGGGTCCTGAAAAGATTTTCTGAATTAATTATATTTTTGCCTTAGTTGTTACAAAGGAGTTAGGTTAGTATATTTAAAATGGATAAATGTAGTATAAAAATATTGTTACTATGCCCATGTTTAGTTGACCTGATACAAATGTTTATCATCCAAAAATAATTGTGGGCACAGGTCTCTGCTACTGTTATTTTGTGGGTCAAAAGCTGAAAAGTTTGGGAACCACTGCTCTAGAACATCACTGCACTCTTCTTATGAGCTTAAATTAAAAGCTGTATCCCAATTTTTAAAATTTTTTTGTTTACATTTTAGAAACATGACAAAGATTAGTAGAATAAAAACCAAATACAAATATGAGCAAATTCACAATCAGTCTGAGACGCTTTGATAAATAAGTAAAACCTTTCATCCAACCCTCCTCCAGAACAACACCATACTAAGTGTGGAACCAGGTTCTTTTCTGGATCAAGGTCAGTTGTTGGAGCTCGCACTGAATGGGAACAGAATCCACCTGGTGACCTCCGACATGTTCCAGGGTCTCGACCAACTCCGCATCCTGTACTTGTCAAGAAACTTCATCACACGCCTGCTGGACTACACCTTCAGTGGTTTACAGGTAAATCATCTGAAAACACAACAGATTATCAGTGCAGATCCACAGGAAGTGAGGCGTCTGTAGAGAGTACAGCCTGGTACTGATTAGGGCTGCCACAAACGATTATTTTATAATCGATTAATCACCGATTATTTTTTCGATTAGTTGACTAATCGGATCATACGTTAATTGAATTTAAAACATACAGCTTATCGCGTCAGAATGCAGCTGTTATTATATAACCATGGCTAGATTTTAGCTATATGCTAATTAAAAATAATTGCTGTGGAAGTCAAGTTCTGCTCTGCAGATATTGGATTGTACAGGTTTCTCTTTCATTTTCTTAAAATGATCCCACACTTTTGAGCTCCGTTGCCGATTAGCCATGATACCAGAGCCTGTCTGTATAATGTCTTGTAATGTCCACGGCCTACCCCAGTTACCACTACTGTGCATGTGTGTCAAGGACAAAAAGGCAGATGTGGCAGTGGAAGGTGTCAAAGCAGTTTGGAGAGAAAAACAAAGTAAAGAAAAAAAAAGATTAATCCATTATTAAATTAGTCATCGATTATTTTAATAATCGATTAGTCGTCGATTAATCAATTAATCGTGGCAGCCCTAGTACTGATAGGGTACATACTGGGTACTTACAGGGTACATTCCCTATGGTGAATGGGTAAATGAGGACACAGATTGTAGTGTGAAGCGCTTTGAGTATCCTGGTTGGATAGAAAGGTGCTATACAAGTACAGTCCATTTACCATTTATACCAGGTACTGAAAGAGTACATACAAGGTATTTACAGGGTACTACTGGGTACATATCAGGTACTGAAAGAGCATGTACCAGGTGCTTAAAGGGTACATACTGGGAATGTATAGTGTTTAAACTAGGTATGTACTGAGTACTTACCGGGTGTGTAGTGGGTACTTACAGGGTACATACTTGGTACTCACACTGTAGGCACTAGGTACTTATAGGGTATGTACTGGGTATTTCTAGTGTATGTACTAGGTACCTACTAGGTACATACTTGGTACTTACAGAGCATGTACTGGGTACTTACACAATACAGACTAAGTTCTTATCTGGCACTGACTAGATACTTATAGGGTACATATTAAGTATTAGTTGCATATGCACTATTATATAGGTACAGGGTATATAGGGCACCAAGTACTTCTGGGGTAAATACAGGGTGCTTATAGGGTATGGACTAGGTACTAAGAGGGTACTTACTGGGTACTTTCAAGGTACATACTTGGTACTAACAAGGTACATACTGGGTACCTATAGGGTATGTACTCAGTCCTAACAAGGTACAAACTGGGAACGTATAGGGCAGGGGTTCTCAAACATTTTGGGTCTGGGGACCCCTTACAAAGGCAAAACGATTCCAGGGACCCCCCCCTTAATAAACCCCATGCTGTTAATGCAAAATAATTTATTGTTATTTTAACTTCTAAATGTCATGGTAATAATATTTTGTTTGGTTTAGTATGTTTGTTTTACTAGTGCATTATTCCCCATATGCATTTTTTGAAGTAAAAAACAAATGAACAATTTCTTGAAATTTTTTGAGGACCCCCAAGAAATGACTCATGGACCCTTGGGGGTCCTGGGACCCCAGTTTGAGAACCTCTGGTATAGGGTATATACACTCACCGGCCACTTTATTAGGTACACCTGTCCAACTGCTCGTTAACACTTAATTTCTAATCAGCCAATCACATGGCGGCAACTCAGTGCATTTAGGCATGTAGACATGGTCAAGACAATCTCCTGCAGTTCAAACCGAGCATCAGTATGGGGAAGAAAGGTGATTTGAGTGCCTTTGAACGTGGCATGGTTGTTGGTGCCAGAAGGGCTGGTCTGAGTATTTCAGAAACTGCTGATCTACTGGGATTTTCACGCACAACCATCTCTAGGGTTTACAGAGAATGGTCCGAAAAAGAAAAAACATCCAGTGAGCGGCAGTCCTGTGGGCGGAAATGCCTTGTTGATGCCAGAGGTCAGAGGAGAATGGGCAGACTGGTTCGAGCTGATAGAAAGGCAACAGTGACTCAAATAACCACCCGTTACAACCGAGGTAGGCAGAAGAGCATCTCTGAACGCACAGTGCGTCGAACTTTGAGGCAGATGGGCTTCAGCAGCAGAAGACCACACCGGGTGCCACTCCTTTCAGCTAAGAACAGGAAACTGAGGCTACAATTTGCACAAGCTCATCGAAATTGGACAAGAGAAGATTGGAAAAAYGTTGCCTGGTCTGATGAGTCTCGATTTCTGCTGCGACATTCGGATGGTAGGGTCAGAATTTGGCGTCAACAACATGAAAGCATGGATCCATCCTGCCTTGTATCAACGGTTCAGGCTGGTGGTGGTGGTGTCATGGTGTGGGGAATCTTTTCTTGGCACTCTTTGGGCCCCTTGGTACCAATTGAGCGTCGTTGCAACGCCACAGCCTACCTGAGTATTGTTGCTGACCATGTCCATCCCTTTATGACCACAATGTACCCAACATCTGATGGCTACTTTCAGCAGGATAATGCGCCATGTCATAAAGCTGGAATCATCTCAGACTGGTTTCTTGAACATGACAATGAGTTCACTGTACTCAAATGGCCTCCACAGTCACCAGATCTCAATCCAATAGAGCATCTTTGGGATGTGGTGGAACGGGAGATTCGCATCATGGATGTGCAGCCGACAAATCTGCAGCAACTGTGTGATGCCATCATGTCAATATGGACCAAAACCTCTGAGGAATGCTTCCAGCACCTTGTTGAATCTATGCCACGAAGAATTGAGGCAGTTCTGAAGGCAAAAGGGGATCCAACCCGTTACTAGCGTGGTGTACCTAATAAAGTGGCCGGTGAGTGTATGTGGTACTTACATTGTAAGTACTATGTACCTATGGGGTATGTACTGGTACTTTCAAAGTAAGTACTGGGTACTTACAGTGCACAAATTGGGTACTTGCAAAGAACGTACTGGGAACATACTAGGAACGTACCAAGTACTCAGAATATTTAATGGGTAGTGTGTATCTTGCACTTGCAATGTACATACATAACAAGTATACATCAAGCACTTACAGGTTATGTATCTGGTTTTCTTAATTGGTATTTACAGGTATTCATCTTGTACTTATTGTACACTTTTAGGATAACACTCAGTACTTCCTACAGGGTAACACGTGATACCTACCTCCTTTGTACCCAGTAAGTTCTAGGTCTGCAGATTGTTAGTATCAGGTAGGTACTTAGCACATGTCTTAACTGTGTCAAGCAACTCAAATATTGAGTCTAAAATTGAATGGGCTTGATGTTTTCCAGTTATCACTAGATGATCAGAATCTGTCCAAGGGTTTCATGAGACATTTCACTAACAGACAGACAAACAAACTGTAGGAGACATTTCCAGTTAGTGTTCAGCTCATAGTAGAAGCTGATGGTTGACGTGTGCTGCAGCGTCTACAGGAGCTCCACCTGCAGCACAACAGTATTGAGATGATAGCAGAGCAGGCTCTGGCCGGTCTGACCTCTCTGGCTCTGCTGGACCTGAGCAGGAACAACCTTCACACCATGGGCCCGACGTCACTGCAGCCCCTGGTTAGTCTGCAGGTGCTGCGCATCACAGGTGAGCCTGGAGTCCCGACGAGTCCCTTGTTTGCCGTTCGCGACTCTCCGGACACTGACTCGGGTCTGTGTGTTCTTCTGCAGACAACCCGTGGCGCTGCGACTGCGCCCTCCTCTGGCTGAGGAGCTGGATCGACGAGGAGGGCCAGCGGCTGCTGAGCTCAGCCGAGCGACGGCTGGTCTGCACCGAGCCCCCGCGCCTTTCCCACCTCAGCCTGGTGGAGGTGCCGCTCAACAGCCTGGTGTGCATCCCCCCCCTGGTGCAGCTGGAGCCCAGGAGGCTGGCGGTGCGTCTGGGAGAGAGCCTCAGGGTGTCGTGCCACGCTTCGGGCTACCCTCGGCCTCAGGTCAGGACACTAACGCTCCTTTTCCACTAGTGCCACTTAGTGGTGGGACGGTACGGTCAGTGTCGGGACGGTCAGTTCGGGTGCTTTTCCATTGACGTTCCAGTCCGGTTCCAGTGGGTGTGTTTTGGGGGGTTGGTGGAAATGGTTTTTGGGTTTTTCAAAAAAGAGTTAATGCGCAAAAAGAGAGATGGAAACACATTTGCCGAATAAGTTCTGAAATTTTAAAAATTCACTAAAAATTGGAATTAAAGTTGGAAGGAAACACGACTAATGTCACTGCTACAATTGAAAAACTGGGGCCTCGAGTTGTTGTTGTAAAGGCAGCTCAGGCGCAACCAGTGACTCCATCCCCTAGCCAATCAGTGAGGAACAGTGTTCTGATGTCGCATTTTAGTGTCGACTGGGACCACTTGGAACCACAATGAAGCAGGTAATTAAAAAAGGGCTGGTTCCATGAATCTGGCCTAATAGAACTTAATTTAGTGTAGTGTCGGTAAGGTTCAGTGCGGTTCCAAGCCAAGTTCCATTAGGCCAGATTCATGGAACCAGCCCCTTTTTTAGTACCTGCTTCGTTGTGGTTCCAAGTGGTCCCAGTCGACACCAAAATGCGACATCAGAACACTGTTCGTCACTGATTGGTTAGGGGGTGGATTCACAGGTTACATCTGAGCTGCCTTTACAACAACTCAAGGAAACGTTTTTTCAATTGTAGCAGCGACATTAGTTGTGTTTCCATCCAATTTTAATTTTTAGCAAATTTTTAAAATTTCGCAAAAAGGAAAAAAAGAAGAAATGAGAACCAGACATGTTTCCATCAACTGTCTTGATGCGAATCAGCCAGGCTACGCATAGTGTAATTATGTCAGACCCATGGTCGTGGTGAACAGGAAGTACAAGTCGCAAAACTCGCATGGACATATCACAGGACAATGGAGAGAAGTTATCAGGAACCTGTTGCTACTATCAGGAAAGTTATACTGATTCTGTCATATCAAACAGTTTTGTCACATGTTATGTGCTGTCTGGAGATGTAGAAAAAAAATGTGATTCTCTTCGTGTTACGGGAATAACTTAGAAGACGCCGACTGCAGGAGGAGGGTTCTTCTGCCAGTCGTGGCTGCAGTCGCTCTGGCACTGGTTCGGACAGAGAGCGGGAACAGCCGATCAACACTGTGAGGTAAATTTTTGCTACATCAGAACTTATTTGGCAAATGTGTTTCCATCTCTCTTTTTGCGCATTAACTGTTTTTCGAAAAACCATCTCCACCAACCGGCCAAAACACACCCATTGGAACCGGACTGGTACGTCAATGGAAGACCACCCGAACTGACCCGTACCGACACTGACTATTCCGACACTGACCGTACCAACACTGACCGTACCAACACTGACCGTACCAACACTGAACATACCGACACTGACCGTACCAACACTGACCGTACCGACACTGACCGTACCAACACTGACCGTACCAACACTACACTAAGTGGCACTAGTGGAAAGGGGCATAGAGTCCCACAGCACCGTGGAGGAGTCTTCATCCTCTTACGGCTTTCTTCTGTAAATATCTTCGCAGGTGACATGGAGGAAAGCATCCCAAGGTAAAGTAGTGGACTCTCCCAGAGGTCTGGTTCAGGATCTGGGTACTGGAGGAAGTGAAGGCTCAAAGGAGTCCTCGGAGGAAGGCAGAGTCAGCCTGCAGAAGACCGCCGGGGAGCACTTTGACCCCGACACTGGCAGCGGCATGCTGTTCCTCAGCAACGTGACGGTGGCACACGCAGGCTTTTACGAGTGCGAGGCCTGGAACGCAGGAGGCGTAGCCAGGGTGACCTTCCAGCTCGCCATCAACTCCTCCTCCTTGTCTTCCTCCTCCATCTGGGCCACATGGTCCCAAGCGTCCTCGCCGTACTCTCCCGCCTGGCCTCGACTGAAGAGCCACGGTCCGGCGCTGGGCTCCGACGTGAGCCGGGAGCCCCTGTACGCCCTGGGCAGCATGGCCTTCAACGCTCTGGGAGCCGCCACTCAGACAGCCATTTCTCTGGGCATCTCCCTGCTGGCCCTGACCGCGCTGATGCTGGTCGCCATGATTTACAGCCGCCGCCACCAGCGTGACAAGGAGCCCGATGGGGCTGAAAAGGTGTATATTGGTCAGCAGCAAAATAAAACGGCACATTAAGTGTCGAGCAACAGAAAAGTCCAACCTGATAGGTGACAGGGGTCGTCTGAGGGCAGGGGAGTGTTCAGGGCGACAAAGAGTTAGAGAAACATCAAAATGCTGCTATTACAACAAAAAATACAAATAAATCAGTTTAAAAGTAGCAACTAACTGACACATCAGGACCAAAACTTTAAAATATTATTTTACCAAATCCTCACATCTTTTAAGTTGACTTCTTTTAAGATTTTTCTTTCCATTTGATGTTGCACAATTGTGTTAAACAATGATAGAAAAATAATAAGAAAAAAAAAGCTTTGTGGTTGACAATGGCCAGCTTCTGTGGGTGTGGCTTAAAACAAGTTCTCGTAGGTCTGTTGAACTGAACTTACCAAAACTCCAGGCTAATCCCCAATTTACACTACTTGCGTTCCGTCTCCACTCCGCTCCGGTCCGACCTCCGCAGCAAATACGCACCCATTGTAATCAGAGAGTGTTTACACTGGCTGCGCAGGGCGGCGGTGAGCGGACTGCGATCTGGCAAAATTAGAACAGATCCTATTTTTGCCGGACAACGGAGCAGCGCCGGTGTCAATTTTTAAAGATTACGTCGCACCAACAGGAAAAGAAACAAGCACAACATCCGTATTTTCAAAATAAGACACTTTTAGACTGGATAATTTGTCAGAATAATGTCGAAATTGCAGCTATATTAATAAATATACGGATATATTTCTACACAAATGCTGTCAGAATGTATTGTTCTGTTTGGGAAGCAGATAGAAACGTAGTATGAAGCATATGTGTACACACACGATACACGTGGATTTTATTTTGAAATCAGAAGTTTCAGAAAGCCGACAGTGAGACAGTTTCAACATAGATAYCAAAAGCCTTTATATCATTGTTTTCAGCTGTGTTTGGAGTTCGTCTTTCACAGAATTAATTATTTTTTGCTGTAACTTCCACACTTACCACTGAATTTATCACACAATCTCCTTCCTGCATGTCTGTTGGACTGGGGCGGAGGTAGTGTAAACTGGATCTGAAACGCACAGCTGCGACCTGCGCAGCACAGCACAGCGGAACGGAGACGGAACACAAGTAGTGTAAATTAGGGGTTAGGGCTGTGCAGTGTTGAGGTGTGGCTATCACTCAAACTTCTGATTAGAGCAGCAGGAGTCATAGAACGACTCTTAACTCCTTATTATGATGCATAGATCAAATTATGTCCAGAGTTTTAAGTATATATACGTTCACAACATTTTAATACCGCGGTATACCAAAATACCTTCATAAAACCCAATTTTACTTCAGACTGCTTTAGGTATCCTAAGGGGAAACATGCTACATATTTTTTCAAAATTGCCATGAATCAAATTATTTATTTAAATGACTTCAATTGTTAAGTTCCTCAAGAAGCTAAAGTACAAAAAATAGTATTTTAAATTGATATTTTTAGTTCAGACTGAGCTCGCTTTAAAACACTGACTAGTTTATGATGGACAAAATAAATAAATATAAGTTTTCAGTAGTTATGTAAGATGGTTCATTCCACCTCTTTCAGGAATAGTTCTTGTCAAAGTTTTGAGGATTAATATATAATGGAGCTTGGTTGTTAAGAGCTTTGTATGTTAGGAGTAATATTTTAAATTATATTCTGAATTTGACAGAGAGCCAGTGGAGAGAAGCTAAAACTGGAGAAATATGATCTCTCCTTCCAACTCTCATTAAAACTCTAGCAGCAGCATTTTTGGATTAACTGAAGACTTCTTAAAGAGTTTTTTTGATGCCCAGATAATAAAGAATTACAGTAATCCAGTCTAGATGTGATAAAAGCATGAATCAGTTTTTCCCGCGTCATTTTTGGACAAAATGTTTCTAATTTTAGTGATATTAAACAGGTGGAAGAAGGCGTCCTGGTAACATTTTTAATGTGGAGGTTAAAAGACATATCCTGATCAAAAATAACACCAAGGTTCTTTACATTAGAACTGGAGGCCAGTTTAATGCCATCCAGAGGAGGTGAAAGGCTGCAAAGTTGATCCCTAAGATGTTCAGGTCCAAAAACCACAACAGAGTTTAGAAAATTAAGAGTCATTCAGGTTTTTATGTTTCTAAGATAAGCAAAGATTTGTCAGGTTTCATAGATAAATATAATCATCATCAGCATATCAATTGTCTAATATAGTAACTGGATTTGATGTTGGATTTATACTGTAATATGAGCTGATTTTATCTGAACAAAATTAAACACATCCCAGGAAGGATATTACACAGAGAAGGCAGATGCCAATTTAAAATATCAAATACTATTTATGATAATGATTGAGTTTTTATCCTTAAAACTGAACTAAACCGAAACAACCACTTGGGTTTTCCTTCAAATGTTTACACTGAAAACAGAGCGTTTGGAAAGTGTGAAACTCTCAGGTCTGTTGTTTTTTTTTTTTGTATCCCAAAAGTGATGGTGAATTTTAACCAGCAGGAAGAAAGCATCCTGTACGTGAATGACTACTCTGATGGGCCCACCATCTTTGCCCAGCTGGAAGAGTACCGTGACGAGCAAGGCCACGAAATGTACGTGCTCAACAGAGCCAAGCCCGTGCTGGCCCCCGCCTCGCTCTCAGACGTCTCCACCACTAATCTGGGCTGCCACGCGCCGTCGGACACCTCCAGTCAAACGCTGTCAGTGGGGCCGGGACTCGGCACGAACCCAACTCTGATCCTGATCAAACAGCAGCCACAGGACTGCGGCGGCGTCCAGATGACGAAGAGGATGGCAGGGGAAGGAGGGGAAGCGGAGCCGGTGATCCCGTCAGAGACTGAGGAGATGTTCCTGAACCACACGGGTATGTTCATGGAGTCTCAGATTGCTTATGAGATCCACTGTTGAGGGAAGAGGCGGCGCCGCTCAGCCAACACACAGAAACCAGCTGCAATCTGTCAATTAGGACTAGAAGAAACTCCTCCCAAGGGACACGAGGGAGCCTATCACCTGCTCCCAAACACTGAACCTCTTAACGAACGATGCGTGACGCTGTGTGCCAAAACAACGAAAGCTACTGAGCTTCACTCACAGTGGAGTCTGAGCTGCTCACATCACCGGTTCAAGAACTAAAACCTGCCCTCTCAACTCCTTTAAGCTCGTTTCCAAGGCGAGAAAACAAGAAACTTTAAAAATAAAGAAGAAATCCTTCAGTAGCTGAGCTTGTACAGCAGCTGTTATCATTTAAAGTGTAATTATAGCTGGTGTAACTATTGCTTAAAGTTCAAGAACATGTTGATTATTATATTTATTCTGTTAGTTATGAAAAGATTGTAAACTTTTAACATCTTTTTTTGTTGTTCTTGTTCTGTTTGCTAAAAGGGTCATTCCTGCTGAATGTCCCGTCGACAAAACAGGGTTCTGTAGCACAAAGTCAGACCAGTTTTCCTGGACCACTTCTTGGACCTGTGCAGCTTCCGTACACCCGTCTGGTTCTGGTTGAGGTCATGTGGTTTGGGATTAAAACGTCTGGATTCAACATGGCAGAGGATGAACAGACTAGAAGGCTTAGAAAGAAGTGTCCTCCTGTGTTTTGAAACAACCGATTCATCAGAAATGCTTCATCTGTTCAGGACCAGAATCTTGGTTTTACTTTTCACGTTTCTTCCTACACGAAGGCTCACCTCGACCCTTCCAGAGTTTAATGATGTTTTTGGAGATCTCTTAGTTTATTTATTCATTGAATTAGCCTCTGATTGTTTTTAGGACCACGTGGGTAAAGCTGCTCACATCAGTCAGGATTAAATCACTCCTTGCTTTGGTTGAATTAGTTGTTTAGGAGGAGATTTTATTTGGCAAATTGTGTACTTTTTTTCTAATGTGCTCAGTTTTTGCTTCATGTCACTTTTTTCCTGATTCTTTTTACCTCAAATAAAACCAGTCCAGCTTCTGGCTGAAAGACAAACATCTGCAAATGTGACTGTCTGAACTGTGAATATGGGTTACCATGTTGAGAAACATCAGGTTAAAGCTGGCCGGTGTCTAAAACTGGCCCACTGCTTATTGGAACTGTTCTGTTCTGTTCTGTTCAATTCAGTTTATGTATATAGCGCCAAGTCACAACATACGTTGTCTCAGGGCACTGTACATAAAAAAGAACAATCTAAAGAAGAAACCAGCAGATTGTGTTGAATCACTTCATCACAGTCTCCCATCCTGAGCAAACGGTGGAGAGGAAAAACTCCCTGCTAATCAGGAAGAAACCTCCAGCAGAACCAGGCTCAGGACAGGCGGCCATCTGCCTTGACCGGCTGGTTGAGGAACAGGAAAGAGACACAGACAAACACAGAAGAACTGGTCCAGGTGCACCTTCTTCTGGAAAAGAGACAAAAAGGAAAAACATGTTGTTGATAAAAATAATTACAATAAACATGTGGAGAAGAGAGACTAAAGACAACAGCAGAGTGAGGAAATGTGCTCAGTTTGTGCTCCAGCAGTCTGTCTATAGCAGCAGAAATGAAGAATAAGTCAGGAAACTTAAGTCTAACTATAGGATTTATCAAAAAGGAAAGTCTTCAGTCTAATCTTAAAAGTAGACAGAGTGTCAGCTTCACGGACAGAAACTGGAAGTTGGTTCCACAAGAGAGGAGCTTGATAACTGAAAGCTCTGCCTCCCATTCTACTTTTAGAAACTSGAGGAACCACAAGTAAACGTGCAGTCTGAGAGTGAAGTGCTCTGTTAGGAAAGTATGGAACAATAAGATCTTTAATATATGATGGAGCTTGGTTGTTGAGAGCTTTTTATGTTAGGAGTAATATTTTAAATTCTATTCTGAATTTGACAGGGAGCCAGTGGAGAGAAGCTAAAACTGGAGAAATACGATCTCTCCTTCCAACTCTCATTAAAACTCTAGCAGCAACATTTTTGGATTAACTGAAGACGTCTTAAAGAGTTTTGTGGAGCCCAGATAATAAAGAATTACAGTAGTCCAGCCTAGACGTTATAAATGCATGAATCAGTTTTTCCGCATCATTTTTGGAGAAAATATTTCTAATTTTAGTGATATTACACAGGTGGAAGAAGGCGTCCTGCATTTTTAATGTGGGGGTAAAAATACATATCCTGATCAAAAATAACACCAAGTTTCTTTATATTAGAACTGAAGGCCAGATTAATGCCATCCAGAGGAGGTGAAAGGCTGCAAAGTTGATCCCTAAGATGTTCAGGTCCAAAAACCATAACCTCTGTCTTATCTGAGTTTAGAAGCAGAAAGTTAAGAGTCATCCATGTTTTTATGTCTGTTAGACATGCTTGTAGTTTAACTGGTTGGATTCATCAGGTTTCATGGATAAATATAACAGAGCATCATCAGCATAACAACAGAAATTTATAATTTTAGTTAATTTCATTTAGTTTAATTAATTTTAGTTAAGTTTAAGTTTAATAACTTTACCTGATAGAAGCATACATAAAGTAAAGAGGATTGCTCCAAGCACTGAACCCTGAGGAACTCCATGACTAACTCTGGTGTAAGAAGACTTAACATTAACAAACAGAAATCTAGACTCAAACCATTTTAGGGCTGTTCCTGTAATCTCAATAACTGTTCACTTATTTGTTTTTTAATGTGGTTTATAAAACATCCAGCTAAGACCAGACATACATCAATAACAATCTGCCTCCAAGTCTGACTACTCTGAACAGAAGACCGGAGACAGAAAACTATTTCCATCCATCTACAGGACGTGTCAGACTCGAGGCCTGCAGGCCAAATGTGGCCCCTGGGAGCTTTAAAGGTGCATTAACATTATTGCTTATGTCTTTAAAATAAATGTATGTTGCTTTAAAGCCATAAACTACACCTCCTATAATGCATGTCGTTATTTTACCTGCAAAAAATGACAGCATCCCACCACCAGGTAGAGCTGTACAGGGTTCAAAAGTAACCAGCAGCTGGAACATTTCATCTTGTAAAATCTACATTTCACTGCACTTTTGGCAGCTACTTCTGTTGCGGCCCAGCTGTACTGGGAAGTGGGAATTCCCTTACAAGTCGCAAATTTAAAGTGGAACGTCTCTCGAGTGAGAGCTTGCTGTCGGAAAGTGGAAAAGTTTAGAATTCAAGAGGGCAGCTACTCACCACAACTAGTGAGTAAAATTCTTACTTTTAATAGTATTTCTGTATTATTTATTTCACATTCATTCAGAAATACACGTAGTACTTTTCAGTGTTTGTAAGAGAACCTGTTAAAACACTTTCTATGCAGGAAATACCAGGTAGAGCTCAGTTGGAGCAGTGAGATGAAGTTGATGTTTAGTTGAAGTTAAACACAAAACATCAAAGTTAATTACTGGACCTTTGAGGGCCACCATAACGCTCATGAGGCCCTCAATGAAAATGAGTTTGACACCCCTGGTCTTAAGAAATGGTTTACATGGAGGATTGGCATCTGGATAACACTTATCCCCTGTGGGGACGATGTTCTCAGCATGACTGTTAAAAACATTAGTGTTAGTCTCATCCTAACTCAGCACCTTCTTCCACGTTAAAGGAGTCTTCAGTCGGTTATGTCAGGGTTATTTTGACCTCCTGATGTTCAGGATCTGATGAACCAACAGGTCTGACTGATACTGAGACACAGATAATTAAGTTTTTATTAACTCATCTTTTTTTTGCCTTCTTTTTCTTAGCTGAGGAAGTGCTGACTGAAGAGACAAAGCTCAAAACACAAGTCATTCATCGTTTTTATCTAAATTGATTTTGAGCTTAAAAATGAAAATCAGACATGTTCAGGATCCAACAAGCAGCGACTAGTTTATATTTTAAAGGGATTTTTATTGGTTAAAATAAGATTGAAGACATTACATGTTTTTTTATTCTTTGTAACAGAATGAGCAATATTCCTTAAATAAGTTGTATTTTTATTTTAACTGTAGGCAGACCATAGAATAAAAACATTAAACATTACAGAGAGCTGATGATTCACATATAACTCAAAGCTAAAACAAGTAAATAAACAATAAGAATGAATAAGTGGAATAAATTATTAAACACAAACAAATACTTCTGGATGAAGACATCTTCATCACAACAATCAGCTTTTTAAAATAAAGTTTATTTAACATTAAGGATAATTTTGTACAAGAGTTTAAGGCCTGGAAGGAGATGACCTTCCTCTGTAGTGAAATGTTCAGTTGAAGCAGTGAAGTCGACTTCATGCAGGGAAGTAAGCAGAAGTTATGGAAGGCTTTGGACGCTGATGTACCTCTGCACAGAAAAACAAAAGTTTAAAACAATGTTTTGATGTTACGATCATATTAGTTCTGTTATTGAAAAGTACGTTTTTCTCTTAATTCAGACAGACCTACAGCAGTCGTACTGTAGTTTTACTATAGATCAAAATTTATGAAATACAAATAAAAAGCAACCAAACATTAGGAGTTCAAAATCTGAGAAAAGATGAGACGTTTTTAAAAAGCAACACAGGTAAAGTAAAGCTGCCCAAAATAAGATTCCCTGATTTTAACAGAAACTATTGACTCCTAAACTGTTAGTTATTTGTGTCACAGAGTCTGAACCTGTTGTCCCTGCAGAGGAACAAATGCTCAGCAGTTTTACCTCCAGGGATCAGATTCGATGATAAACTGTAAACCGGGATGCTGTCGTCTCTTCTGAAGTACTTTGAATCCAGACCAGAAGATTTCTCACTAACAAGACACAAAAATGACTTATATCAAACTGCACTGACACAAACTGTAAAAAAATGAGCATCTTCACAGAAAAATCTGAAAGCGAATTTAATAACTGAACCTCTAACTGAACCGCTGTAAACTCCTGTAAATAAAGAAAACAGCAGAACTCACAGTGGTCTGTTGTCTGTGGGTCCAGCTCGTTCAGCAGAAGTCAGCTCAGAGCCCATCACAGCAGCTTTACCAGACCATGGATGAAACTGGGCCTAAATAAAAGAGACAAACACAAGCATGAACATGAAATACATCGTCTGTCTTCACATTTTGTCAGATAAAGTAGGAGGTTAACCCGTAAACATGTCGTACCTTCAGTCCTGTCGCTGCTGACATCACAGAGGGATTCTCCAAACTCTCAGGAGCTTTTCTGGACAGCTGGTTCTCATTGAGCTGCTTGTTCAGCCAGCTTATAACTGCAGTGAGGAACAAACACGACGTTAGTGTTGAACGATGACGATAAGGAACTTTCATCAACTTACTGACACCAAAACACCAGCAGGCTGTAGTTTACTGAAAACTGCCTCAAAGAAAGAGCACATCAGCACTTCCTCCACTGATCACAATAAAACCTTTGTGTTGTTTGTGCTTTTTTTTTAAAATACACATTCATCAAAACATTCAGCTTGTTAAATATTTATGTTTTCCCCAACATTAAAATCACTTCGAGTTCTTTAAAAATTGCTTTGAAATCTGCTTCAGCGTGCTTGCTCTATTTATGTTCTCTTAGGCTAATTTTAGCTACCGATCTGTTATTTTTTTATTTACAGATCTGCTTTTTTTAAGTTTTAGCTACAGTTTTGCTCAATATAGCATGTTTAGCTAATTTTAGCTTTAGTGTCTGCATGCTAATTCCAGTTATTGTTTAGCAGCTAAACAGCATTTGCTTTGTTAATTTAAATTACTCTCTAGCAAATTGTAGCTTTAGCATCGGCGTTTCTAATTTAAGTTACTGTTTAGCACGTTTTAGCTTTAGGATTTGTTCTGCTAATTTCAGTTACTGCTTTACTAATTTAAGTGACTGTTTAACAAATATATATAAACATTAGCATTTGTTTTGCTGCTTGAATGTTTTATTGGAGTAGTAAGCTGCCTTGTGTGGAAACTGAGAGCAAATGTTTTCCGCTTATAATTTTTCCCCACAGTTTTCTTGTGATAACGACATAATATGCCCTAATACGGGGGTGGGGNGTCCAGAAAATGTCCGCTCTCTGTATCCAACCTGCTAGAATTATTAAGTCCTGGAGGAGAATTTACACAAAGGATGTTTTGTTTCTTAAATGTCGACTGGAGAGGATCTGTAAAAACTGATGGAAGACTCCAACATTAAAAAAACAGAAACAACTCAGCTACAGCTCGTCATGTCAGACGTTCCAGGAGCTTCCTCACCATTCTCATTCGTTTTTAACACTTCTCTGCTTTCATTTAACTTCTGTACGCTCGCTTCCAGCTGCTCCTTCAGTTTGGAAACCTGGAAGAAACAAACATCATCGTCAAGTTAAATAAATCATCATTTAAACAGAACTAGTCCAGTGTTGCCAGATCTTGTGAGAGAAACAAGCAACCAGCTCTGTGAAAACAAGCCTAACTGGTAACACAACACATTGTGTACATTGTACAGAAAAACAAAATGATGATAAACATTTTTACCATAAAAACTGAATAACTTAAGTGCTTTTTGTCTGTGATCTTAAGAAAAGTGAGTTTTGCACTTACTGTATCCAGGGGTGAAGAAAGCAGTTTTTGACGGTACTAACTCGCCGGCTGTGGCTCTCTCGCTTGATTCACGAGTTTTAAAAAGAAAATTCTGTATCAGTATTTTACTGTACTGTAGCCTACCTGTATCCCAATGCACGCAGCATTTATTTATTTGTGTGCACCACCTGTGTAAAACGTCCCCGTTCATTAAATGGAGTGCACCAATCCCTCTCTTTCGTATTGCAAATCAAGTCTCCTGTCATAATCTCAGAAGCAGATGATTTGGAGCTGTGTTGTGTTGTTGTGTTGTTGTAACTGAGCAAAGATAATATTCAACACAGCTAAATGCTCTCGCTTTGCTTTTAATTGGGATATTTTGTAACAAGCAGACATTAAACTGCTTGTTTCCCTGTCACTCTAGGCTCTGGCCTGCGTGTGTTTGAGGTGGGCCCAGTCAACTTGGGTGGGGGTGATAAGCAGGACACGGGGAATAATAAAGGACAAACTACCTTCTCCTCGTGTTTTGTTTAATAGCCTATTTGTCACAGTCATTAATGATGTATTTCAGGTAAAATTCTTGCCACGCTCCTGCCTTCCACTCCCTGCTAACTGCCTATGTTTTTACCATTGGCTCCTAGTACTAGTCTGTGAAAAAGTCACAAAAGTTGAAGCATCTGTGATCTACTGGTGTAAAACGTGAGTTCTGTTGTGTGCCGTTGTGGCCACTAACCAGCAGATACGATCGAGTAGTTAGTTTTTATCCATTTTCCTTTAGATGAGGAGGTGACAGCAGTGGATCATAGCATTACAGGGAAAACTTATCTTTAAAAGCTCACGCTTGTGTTTGTAATCAGCATTTCTAACCTGAGGATATTCAAGAGTCAGCATCAGAAATGAGAAGACGGAGGTTACAAAAGGAAAATGTACATTTATCCCCTTTACTGCCAAGACCGAGAGGAAAGACCACCTCCACACGACAGCTAGCAGGAAGCTAACACAGCAGCCGGTACAAAGGTAGGTGTGTGTGTGTGTGTGTGTGTGTGTGTGTGTGTGTGCGCGCGTTTGTGTTAAATGAAATGTTTTTATGTGACTTTGTCTTGAGTTTTATGCAAAAGTAAAAACTTGTTAGAGTGTATATCACAGCGTAGACTAAAGCCGAGTGACGAGCGCCCCCAACACCGAGAGCAGCAGAACCTCCACCTGATAATCATTACGTTTTCAGTTTATTAATGTCGGGGAAAATGATCCAAACCAAACAAGTCGCCCATCAATTTAAAGCCCAGACTCTGCTCTTTCCAACAATATGTGTCACAGCTCTACGTGATAAATTCACAGAACAAGCAGCGACAGAATAGTGAAAAAGGCTGAATTCTGGAACCATAAACACAAACGTCTTTTCTTTGTTTTTACGGATTTAATCCACTTTGGAGTGATTTTTTTCCACTTGGCTGGACCTGTACGTCTCCTGTGTTTATGTTGGTACATGTAATATGTTAATTCTGTCCTGTGGAGATCATTAAGAGTCGTTGTCGGGTGAAAAAATCTTTCGCTAACACTGTGTTGAGCGTGAACCGGAAGTGTTGGGAGTGGCATCCAGTGCTGGGCCGGATGTCCGTGGCATACAGGCTACTGTGGGGAGCCGGGAGGTAATCGAGGGGTTTCATTCAGAAAGAAAGCCAAGCCCAAAACACAGCAACCCGTGACTCACGAGATTTACAAACGACTTCAGAAAAAGCAAACTTGACAACACTGAGAACAACTCAATGTATCCATTCATTCAACTTCTAAACGTTTATGTTCGGTGGCTCAATAAGACTGGTTTATATTCTCTAAAACCTGCCCACCACCACATTAATGCATCACATCTTTAGCTGGGTGCACTCAGCTTCTGACACATTAAAGAATTCAAACCTTTTTCCTTTTATTTTACAATAATTTCAAAAATATTTGTTCCTTTCTCGTCCAACCTGTGCCGACATCTGAGAATAAAACTCTGCTTCAACATTAAAAGGTTGTTTTTACCTCCTCCTCCTTGGTAACGAGCTGCTGCTGACTGCTGTGTAGGTCCTTCTCAACACTCTGAAGCTTGCCTTGGGTTTCCTGGAGAACCTTCTCCTGGGACACAGTCACCGTGTTTTTCACTTTGATTTTTCCCACGAGGCCTCGGACCTCCCCCTGCAGCTTCTTGATTATATCGTTAGCCTAAAAAATGAATTTAAAATGGAGCTGAACTAAAATACTTTGATACACTTTTAAATACAGTTAAAAATTTTCTAAGGGTCTCAAATGAACAAACATCTTTACACAGTTGTTTTAATACAAAGTATACAAACTCTTCAAACACAAAGCTGCTGTAAGTAAATCAACAGATTTTAAGTTTTAAAGTATTTTATAATCACATTCCTGCTACAAGAGGCTGCACACGCTCCAAAAACAACCAAGTCTCAAGAGAAGAAAACAAAAACTGCTTTCTTTCTGATCAGACTGTAGTTTTGGTGTAACCGATGAGCTTTACAAACCTTTAGCAGCTCCTCTGACAGAGATTTCACCGTTGCTTCAAGTTTTCTCAGCTGAACTTCTTTACTTTCTGCATTTTCCTCAATTGATTCCTAGAAAAGAAGAAAGTTTACAACTAATAAAAATAAAACAAAACAAACGGTTTGGTAAATTCATCTATATTCAGTTATAAACCAACTGATTGACCCTAACAGAAAATGTGTGGGACTTCTGGATCACCTTCTGGTGCTGAGTGGCCTCCAGCACTTCTTTAGTGCGACTCATCAGCAGGTCTTTGTCTTTGACTTCCTGCTCCAGAACAGCTACTCTTATCTGCAGCTGCGACACCAAACGCTCCTTCTCATGAAGCTCTGTGTCCAAAGTGCTGTTCTCCCTCCTGAGAGTCAGAACCTGCTGCTTAGAACGCTTCGATTCCTGCGTGCACAATGAAAACATACAGCTGATATAGAGCATGGCCTTTCCCAACTCTTCTGATAATTTCATCCAATTTTCTAAAGAATTTAAGCTCGTTTATCGTTTTGCAGGTTGATCAGTTTTTGTGAGTTTTCAATGTTAAAACAAGAGAAAAATGTCAGCAATTGTTGCCTTAATGTCCCCATTTCATCACTAATCTAGACAATCTTGGTGTGAATCTCTTGGTTTTTACAAACTCTGTCATTTGTAAAAAGAACAATTCATTGACTTATTTTTTTTGTCTCATACTTACATCTGACCTGATCAGGGTTTCAAAAACAACCTTTCAGGTTATAATATTTTTAAATGTTATATTGAGTTTTGTCTGAACACGTGAACACAATACAATAGCTGCTTCTTAAAACCAACCCAAAACAAACATCTGTTATAACTCCAGCTCTGCTGTGTTTTAAACTGATGCAGGAACTTACGTCTTCTGAACCAACTAGTTTCATCTTCAGGTCTCGGATGACGGACTCGTTCTTGTATTTCTTCTCCGTCAGCTCTCTGCAGGAGCTCTCCAGCTCCGTCACTCTGCCTTGGAGCTGCTGCAGGCTCTCCTTGTGAGTGCTCTCCAGCTCCTGACGCAGCTGATCCGTCTCCTGCTGAAACCTGCTCTGCAGCTAAAAACAAAACAAAACCAAACAATTAAATATTTAAATTAGTGATTTTTCCCAAGAGTCTAAAACATGTTGAGAAAACTAGAGGGTGCAGAGACAGACCAGGGTTTAGCTGCACCTACTCAGCTCTGTGTTTCTGAAGGTGTGTTTGTTCATCATCTGCTACTCAGGGTTCCTACAGCTTAAGGTAAGTTCAGTTTAAGATGTTTTAAGACCTTTTTAATGACACTTCAAATTAAATTTAAGACCAACTTCAGAAGAAACACATGAAAAAAAAAAAAAAAACCCAAGCAGCAAAAAAATTTACCAAATGTTTATTTTAACACAAAACAAATATCTGTGAGAGGAATTCTGTAAGTTATACATAAATAAATAAATAAATAAATAAATAAATAAATAAATAAATAAATGTTACCAATTATTTTAGTATTTAAGACAAATTACAATGATCCTACTTACAATGTGCTAATATTTTTAAGACCTCTGAAAGATTGATTTAAGGCTGTATTCACACCTGACACGTTTGATCTGCTTTAAATGGACCAGAGTTCATTTCCCCCATTGTGCAGGTGTGAACACACTGATGCCAGACCCATTTTTGAGGTGGTCTCGGTTCACTTCTGGTGTGCACGCACCCTAACCCCACTAAGAATCGTCAGGAAACCTGCTGCTGTATTTTTATAAGAGGCATCAGTTTAAATGAATTTTCTGCAAATTGTTTAGTCAATTTTCTTTGCTTAAAGTCTCTTTTCAATGTTTTATGAGGTAATATGACATCAAACTCACATGAAACAATTTCTCTGAAGTGCTGGATCTGACTATTACACAACACCAATTCTAAAAAGAGCTTATCCTGTGTGAACGAGGACTAAAGATGTGTTTAAGCCTCGTTTGTTGGAGGGCATGAGACGAGCTTATGGTAGATTTAAAGAAAACTTAGGTTTTATACGTCAGTTTAAACCATCAAATGTATTATTTTGTAAACTGAAATTTTGAAATTCTATGATTTGGTTGACTATAATGTTTCACTGTTTAAGTACAAGGCTCACAGAAACATATTACCTTCCAACATTCAGGTAAATTTTGTTAAGAGAGACAGCTGTTATTATGTTAAGGGGATGGAAATGTTTGTGAAGCCATATTTTCATATTTGCTTGAGAGAAAGATGTACTTTAATCCAGGGTATAGTTTAATCCAGGGTATAGTTTTGTGGAACATTCTGGAGGATGATTTTAAAAATGCCAGATCTATGTATATATATATTCAAAAGACAGATAAAAGCTAGTTTTCTGAAGGAATATCGAAAAGTAAAATGTTGTTTGAGTTTATGCTTTTATTTTTATTTGTATCGTTTTGTAAATTATGTTTCGTTTGAATATATTCTGGGGATGAAAGGCGCAGACATTATAAGATTTATTCTTCTGCTACCTTTCATTTTATTTTCATTTGTGTATTTTCTTTGTTTTCTATTGTATATAGTAATTTTTTAATGAAATGAATAAATTTTTTGAATTAAACTGAATTTTACTATAG